AGTGTGTGTGTGTGTGTGTGTGTGTGTTATGTTATATAAATGTATGTCTACATATATAAACAGATCTATAAGCATATATGCACACACAGATATAAATGTATAAATACACGAATGTATTATCATATATATATATATATATATATATATATATATATATATAAATATATATATATATATATACTAATATACTGATATATATATATATATATATATATATATATATATATATATATATATACCAATATACTGTTTTATATATATATATATATATATACATATATGTATATATATATATATATATATATATATATATATATATATATATATATATATAATGACAGAGAGAGAGAGAGAGTTTTTGGGATAACCCATCTGTTTCACAAATCAAAATACTATGGCAATATCCTCCTAATCGGACTTTAATGTCATGCATATATATTTTCAACAGGTTCACGAAACACACGTAAATACAACAGGGTTATTGCTCATGACAAATTTTAATTAACAAAATCTTTCAACTTCCGCCGTACATTGTGCCTTCCTGTAAGATATCCACAAGTGACACGATAACACCGCATAATTGTATATTAGCATCGTTGCCATGCAAACAAGCAAATAATAAAACGTGGCTCGGCAGTAGAAGAATCGAACGTTGATGACGTCAGAGTGAACGACAAGTGCGGACTGGTGCGAGGCTAGGATGAGTAACTTCCCGACAGTCATAAAGTACTTGTGTTTTAAGTATATTAATCTGTTTTCTAAAGTTTCTTTGGTTTCAAGATTACATAAGTGCAATGCATAACCCAAAAATCAACTTTGTATAGAAGTGCATTGAAGGAATAAAATGTTTTACAGATGACGAAACATCGACGCTTCCCGGGAAATCCTGGTCCAAGTCAGCATCTAACGTGTACGGTCGAAAACTGCTTCACCGTCACCGAGTCGCCACCTATGTACAGTGAATGAATCCCGAGGTCGCGCCAGGCAACTTTGATCTCTAACGGGACCCGATTCACGGCCACGCGGGACGGCGCGCGCAGGCGCAGAACGGGCGGCGCCAAAATTCAAACGAGCTCAGGTCGCACGCTCATTGGCTCAGAGCGCGTGTGTGACGTCACGATCCCTGAAGGTATATATACTCCTACTTTCACCCGCGCAATCAGACGCAGCAAACGCTTACGACAGACAACAAGTACTCAAGAGAGGAGAAGAGAGAGATCGTTTGTGAGAAACCCATTACCGTTTGTGTGAAAGCACCAGACTATCATGGCTTGTGATTCCCGAGCGGGGCTTGAGGCCCAGAAGCTCATCAACATTTCCCTGGGGAAAATGGCCGCCTCCCGCGTCGGCCGCACGGGTGCTTCGCTTCACAAGTCCTTGCTGGTGGCCTCAGTGCTGCACCGCGCTCGACATGTGTTCCTGGAGGAGAGCTACCACGTGCATCGCGCCGCCCACCCCGAGGCTTATGCCCACCCGCCCCCCGCCCTCGCAGCGCCCATGTACACCCCACCCTTGCCGCCCACGCCGCCGCCGCCGTCCGCCCCCGAGGAGAACAGTGAAGTGGAGGACAAGGAAAACCGCGTGTGCGAGAAGGCGGAGGCCGCTCAGCAGCCCTCGCCGGGGGAACAGTGCAGGACGCCCCTTGCCGACGCCTCCAACAACCGAGTGGCCGCCCTGAAGAGGCGACGGTGTGTCAGTGAGCAGGAGACCCAGGACGCCGTGTCCTCCATCCTGCCCAAGAGGCCCCGCACCTGCCCGTCGCCCGAGCCGGCCATCGCGGACGTGAGCGACGACGACGACTGCGACGGCCCCTGCGGGAACAGCATGGAGGTGGAGCACATTACGTCTCTGGTGTCCATCTTCAGCTTCGGCGGCCCGCGACCGGACATGTGCGCGACGCAGGCGGCCAGAGAAGACCACTCGCAGTTCCAGCCCGTGGCCCTGGCAGTATGAAGCTGCTAGGCCTCTCACCTGGTCACAACGTACCTGACGACGCTGGCACCCCGCGCCCTCGGCCGCCGCCCACGCCTGCTAGTCACCACCCCCGGCCCGGGACCAATCCACGCCCCCGCCCACAAGGATCGGGACGTCCTCGCCTCGCCCGCCCACGCAGTGCCGTCTCCGCCTCCGGCCGCGGCAATGCTCGACGGTCTTCGAGATCCACGTTCGTTGAAGCTCAGCGCCAAGGACGAGTTCTGGTTTATGTTGTGTGGAGTTTTCACCCAGTGTTGGAGAAGCATTGTTGCACTTGTGTGGAGGCACTGCGACGGTGACCTGTGGGGGGAGGGAGTGCCAGTGACGGTTCTGTGGAGGTCAAGGCCTCTGCAAGTGTGAATGTGCTTTGTATTATGACTACATTGCCACACAATGTGATATATATGTACATTATTTGTACAAAAGAGAAGATTTATTTATCATTGGCTCTGCCGATGTTCTATGAAAGATATATATTTTATACTCATGTTGAAAATACAAAAAGATAAATAAAATGCCAAAGTTA